TTAAGAAAACAGCTTTAAGTGCCTAGGGAAGGTGGGGGGTAGGGAGGAATCACCTAAAAATCTTAATGATTAGGGTTATAGGGGCAAAGTTGTTGACGCAGAAATCAAGTGGAGTGACAGATTCTCAGGAGGAAGCAAACATAACTAAATTGCAGTATGTTTAGGAAATTACATTACCCAATGTCGAGACACTGGAAGACTTTGGATTATGTTTTGTTACGCTTTTCAATGTTAACTGCAGCCAGCTCGCTTGCTGGTGCGTAGTGAAAATTGCTGCTGGAGGGAAAGCCTTGGGCTCGAGGAGGAGTCTGGGGGGTTTAGTCAGGATAGCGTTTTGGCCCACTTGCTTATATTAACAGCTTGTTCCTGGGGGATTCTGAGCACTCAGCTTCTACGGGACTGAGCGAGTGGTGCTCAGCCCTCCTTGAAATCAGATGTGGGTGATGTGTCAGGCGTTCCATGGGGAAGGTGCGTGCTGTGGGACTGTACAGTGATCCAGAGGCAAGATGACCAGGAACATGGGGTTAGGGGAGAGGAAGATGGCAGCAGCTACGCAGGAAAGGGGGTGCACAGTTTTACCCACTTTGACATCCATTTAGCTTGACTGGAGGGGTGTCCCGTAGCTGTGCTTCAGCTGTGCTTTTAGAACAACCCATGTTCTGGTGGTGCCAGGGACCAACACCATAGACAAGAAAAAGAAACATCGATGACTAGCCACTAGTTACTTTTTTTGCACTTGAACTTATATGTACTGTACTCACGTAAATCCTCATGACTTGTCTAAGTGTCCTTTAAAATCAGAAATTTATTTATTGTATGTTTGTATAACTTGGGGGAGAACTAAAGACTGAACAGGTGACAGGACAGAAGGATGCTGAAAATCATCTTGAGGCAAACCAACCATTTGTTGAGTTCACGTTGTACGGTGTTACCTCAGCTGCTACTGCATAGCACCTGGATTGTGAGGTGAAGAGCTTGTACACTGTGTTTACACTTCAGAATTGTGTTTTTGAAATGCCTGCTCTTTTTGGAATTGTATAGTCATTCTATGTTGCAAAATGAACATGTACACCTGGGTTTTGATATTTGTGAAACTGTAAAAACTGTGGTAAGAAATATAAAATATCCATAATGTATTTAATAGTATCAATCTGAACTTTTATTACATTTGCTCGTATTACGGTGCCAGCAGTGAACATAATCGCTCGAATTGAAAATAATTCAATAATTACCTTTTGCTAGGTTCAGTGCCTGGAGGATAGCAAACCTAGAGCCTGGGAACTACTCTTGCGCAGCGTTAAAATCTGTTCCATGATAAAATCTGGCTGTAGGCACAAATTTCCTCGTGTGGGGCGAGGAGGATGTAAGGGATGCAGACCAATGTGCATCATAAACAGGTTGATACGGAAGTCTGCAGGACATCATGAGTGACAGTCAAAATTGGATTACGTTTGTCGCCTAGCAGTTTTGAGATAGAGGCTGCTAAGTGCAGGTCATGCCGGCTTGTATACAAATACTTCCACTTTCTATTTCCGATTATATTTGCACTATTGCACCTGCCCTATACAGTGGCACATTTGTCTGGAATTTATTTTTATCTTAGGCGTAGGACAGTTAAATTTTTACTATTTCAAATGCTTAATTTGTATGCACACAAAAGCGATGACAGGGAGAGATCTTAGTTTTGTTTTGTTGTTTGCATGTGTGTAACTGCCAGGCCTTACTTGTCACCTTAAAAATTTGGCTTTGTGGTGGTTTGGATCTGTCGTGAATGGAGAATGGGAATGGCAACTTCCTTCAGGGAGATGCATTTGAGGTAGAGGGGACGCTCCATTTTGGAGCAACACAGTTGCTCAGTTACCACAGTTGCACAGTTACCATTTCTTAAATCTGCAACAAGGAAGAAAACCTCAGGACATAAACACATCCCATTTGCTTGGCTCCTCCTCGTCATATATCCAGCTGTTCTGAAAAGAATAAATGCATAAGGGAGGAGAACCACATAGTTGAAAAATACTTGAAAAATACTTTTATTTAAAAAACTTCTTGAAAGTACAAGATAGCGTATCGAGTATGCTGTACCATGAATACAAAATAAATAGGAAATTGTAACTTTTAACACCATGAAACAGAAGATAAATGTTAACTCATCCTTTGTTAATGAAGAAAGGCTTCTGTAACGGTTAAAGCCATGGATTAACATCTAGATTCTGTTCCCAGATTTTCTGGCTGAGCACTGGACAGTACTTTAACAGTTGTGTTTCAGTAAACGTGTGTAATCTCCGTGTGTCACAGCACTGTGCAAGTAAACTCAATGTTCGCAAAGGGCTCAAATGACAGCAGTTGGTTCTGGTGGGTTTTGTCAAATGCTTCCAATGTTGGAACAGGCTTGGGGGGGATTTTTAAGGTCAGTATCAGCTATCTGCTAAAGTAGTTGTCATCCTTCTTGTATAATGCTGCATTTCAGTCTTGGATGCACTTAGTAGTTTCTTGTGGATAGTATTTACCCATCCCTGGCAAATGATGGACTTCATAACTACATAAAACATAGGTTGGTTGGGTTTTTTTTCCCCTTGTGGGAGTAGGTGTACCTGGTATTTTCTAAATAAATTAGAAAAAGGGACAGTGTCTGAAAAATGTAATTGCCTATTTTGGGGGGCTTTTCCATTTAACATAGTGCATAGGTAAAATATTATCTTAATGTATTACCTGGGCTATTGTATATAAACGCATATTAATGTACTTACAGAGGGATAATCATCGCTACCTCAGTAAAGAGAGGAAATCCAGAAAAGCTGTGTGTTTAAGCTAGGATAAACCTGATTTTCCCCCTTGGCCTCAAATCACATGGATGGGAGTTCTTAGCTAGCTACAGAGTACACTGAAAAAAACTTGTGTGCTTTATAAAACATGTAAAAAAACCACTTAAGACATCTCTTCAGGTATCCTTTTTTGACTAACCTGTAATAATTTTGAGTACTTCATTTTCATGACGGCAACACAGGCAAAGGTAAAATAAACCTTTATTCTACTAAGGTAACTGTTCAGAGGGGTTTCCATCCTTCTCCTAAAGCATCAACGATAATGAGGCTTTCCTCCACTTCCACAACAGCTAATGCTTCCAGCTTCTTGCGAGTGACAGAACCCCCCACGCCAAGCCTGACTTCCAGAGTGTGGGTGGCAATTTAACTGTGAATTCAGTAGTAGCAGCCTCTCTTAGAGGTGACTCTTGCTGCTAGTGGCCTTCCTGAACAGAACCCTCTTGTTCCATTTTTTTCAATGTTGTGGACTTAGCAGTGAGTGTATTTTGGATCACCAGCTGGACAGGGCTTCTCTCTGCTGAGCATGCTATACATTCTGCATACGTATTTATAAATTTATGGCACAAAAGGGTGTTAAGGGTCTCTTCACTGTAAAATGGAAGAGTTCCTTTTAAAATGAAGCAAAGTTGAAGCAATATAAAGGAGGAAGGACCATGTAAATAGGCTTTCAAGCATCAACTCTTGAGTCCTGTTTTATACAGAGGAGCTCTTGGAATGTGGTACAGCAGCACTTCTTAGCACTATTAGAGGTAACATTTTTCTCCCTTGTCCAGCAGTGGACAATGAGAAACCACGATAGTGCATGTGCTGCTGAAGTCATGCTGCATCACTGGGCATGTTACAAAGAAAAGATATCCCTTTTAAAACAAATACATCCTGGTCTGAAATGCCCTTCTGGAGAGCTAATTGCTTCCCACCACCCAAACTGGTGGGTTTGTAAGATGCTGGTGACAGAATTAATGGTCTTTTGTCTTCTGCAGTTTGGAGACAGTAAAGGAAAACAGGAAGGAGAGGATAGACGAATATAGGGATAGTCTAAAGAACAAAAGAAGGGAATGACCGCTGCAGGTGGATGAACTGAGGGGACATGATCTACTCCCTAGCCTAGGATTCTGTAATACATCAGCTGAAAGACATTTGACTGTCTAAATTTCTCTCCCTGTTCTTTTCTTTTCCTCCCCACACACCTCCTATGCTAAGTCCCAAAGAGGGCCAGAGAAAGGGAGGTAGGAGCTAGGTATCCCTCCCTCCTTGTTTTCCCAGGAATTACTTTCCACGTTTTACTGAATGAGTGAACTACCGAGTACTCTGAGGATAGTGAAGCTGTATGGGGGTTATCTGTATTCCCAATTACATGGTTACAGCATCGCTCCGGCCCTGCTGACTGCAGTTCCTCCAAGCAGCTGAAACAGCCTCAGCCTTTGGTGCCTTTTCAGGGCTGCTGAGAGGCCTGGAACGGAGGGCAGTACCCGTCTGAGGTAAGGTGACAGCGAAATTGAAAGCAACAGTAAAAATACATTTGGGGCTGGAAATCATCTGCAGTTGTCAGAGGTGGAGAGGCAGAGGAATGAGGAAAGGTTAAGCAGAGAGGGGCCTGTAGAAGAGGGAAGAAGAGTATGTGAAGAAACAAAGACATGGAAAGAACAAAGGGCAGTATAACTAGAGCAGAAACCAAGAACAGAACAATACAAGCAGAGGGTGAAAAGTCAGGCAGGTTTCTGAAGACTAAGAGGAACTTAAAACAAATGTGGAGAGGCAAAATGAAGCTAAAAGACAGCAAGCCTAGCCAGAAGAGCAAACAAACCTCGTTCAACTGTGTTAACTCTCTATTGATCTTTAGCACTGAAAAGTCTCAAAAACAATAAAAATAGTTTACCAGCACACTAACAGTGTTACTAAAGTTGTTGACATGTAGGGTACTTAGTAAAAGTAGAGTATTAGTAATGGCTTCTTCTCCCTCTAGTGCTCAGCACAGACGACTTGACAGTGAAAAGGGCCAAAACAGATTCTCTGTTCTCTAGAGGTAGTATCCTTGGAAAAACAAGGCATCCTGGTGGGACAGGCTGCTGCCAGTACTTGCTTTGGAAATAAGCAATGTTTACTTCCCCAGTTAAAGTACCGACAGCACGAGAGTCCTCTTCACTTGAACAGCCCCCCTCCTTCTGTTGCTCTGATCAGGCAACATCAGTAATACAGGAAACAGTTTTTTCAAAAACCCTTGTTCGTCCACCAGCACCCACAAGAAATCACCAAGTGTGAGTTCTCGGTCTGTATCCTTCCTTTCTAGGACGAATGTGTTTTCCCTCTCCCCTTTTTTTGGGTTATCTCCCAAAGCTCAGAGCAACTCAGTAGCATATGGAAATGAAATTTGTTCATGCATTTCATCTTCATCCTCCTCATCTTCTTCATGGATGGAATTGGCTGGATCATCTTGCTGAGATTCTGCCCTTGTCTCGAAGAGCTGCTCTTCCAGGAAGAAGCTCCCAATGCCGTATTCCTGATCATGTGCCTTTGTTTCTGCAGGTGAGACATGGGGAGATCCCAGAATAAAACCTGCAAACCTGCCAGATTTTTAAAGGGAGAATTGATCAGCTGAGAAATGAAAAAAATACTGTAAAGACAGGAGATGCTGCCAATTAAGCAGAGATGTTGTAAGGACATGCCCACAGGCAGGGCAGATGAGGGGAAGTTGCAGCATGAGCTAGGGAGTCCTGAACAACAGAGAGTAAATCGCAACCCTTAAGATCCGTTTTCCTGCCTTATCTTCTTTTCAGTCTTTTCTATATAAGTAACTTGTGCTTCTGGAGGCCATCTGCAAGGTCTTGTGACTAAGCAAGAAGATCTAACTTCATTTTTCACATCTTGTCAGTACTCGTGGGGTAATCCAGAGTAAGCATTTGTACAGTTGGATAGATGGTACTTTAGCCTCTAAAAAAAATTGAAACTGTAGCATATTTGAGACAAAGGCTCTAAGAATTCAGGTACATTGACATTGCTAATGAAAGGAAAAATGGTGAGAACTTTGTATTCCTACATTGCTGTGCTATCACCTTGCTTCTGGTGCTGCATGCACGCTCTGGGCAAGCTGAGCTAAAGTCTTGCCAAAGAATTCCTGGGTTGGGTGAACTTGGAGCCGCAGACTGGGAATTTTGCAGCTGCTCCACGTAAATGCCACGCTGGAGGTCTGGCAGAACAAAGCATGAACTTAGCACTGTCCCTGCATTTCAATTCACCACAAATCTGAGTTGCAGTGGACCACTACACTGAAGAGATAGAATGGAGCTGGAGGTTTCTGGCAAATGTGTGGAAACAGACGGCAGTTCCGACACCTGGGTAAGTGTCGACAGCATCAGAGAAATGTAAGAAAAAGGAAATGCAGCTACATTCTGGAGTTCTGGTAAACTGATCAATAATTTACATTTTAGACTTAACATTTCTGTGAGATGAATGTTGTCACCTCGCTCTTCTTGGAAGCACTGTGAGTCTAAATGGGGAACAGAGTTGGACTGGCTGTGTTTTACACGTTTGCCTTGTGTTGAACTATCTTGTGATGCTTAATGGAAGCTTGAAGGGGTACTCAAATCAGACTTCTGTTGGTTCTCCTTTTTATTTTTGTATTTTTATAGTGAACAATTTGTAAGAACTGTATTAACTAAGCGATGGCTAGAAAATACATGTGTCTCAATTGTTTGTTTTGTGCATTTGGCAGTATTTTGTTTTGCAATACTGCAGTGAGTTTTCACTTCTTGTATCTTTCAGTCATGCTACAGAATGCAATTATCTTAGAAAATAAGATAGTTTAACAGTAAATCTATAAAACCTGGCAGAGAGGCTGGCTGTGTGCCCATCCAAGTAAGATGAAGGTTCTGAAACTAGTTTTAACTTTTTATTGATTAAATTCTAAGCTGACTGGGACTCCTTTGAAATTGTGATACTTGGTTCTGTGGCAAGAGCAAGTCTTTGTGGCTGGATAATATGTGAAACTCTGCTTCTGGTATCTTAACGTTTCGGTTTTGATGGAAATACAGTGCTATGATGATTAATTTTATATTCTGCAACATTTTCTGGCTGCATTTATCTGACCCTTCCCTTCCTAGCCCATATTTGTCTTTTAAGTTTATCGCAAGCTATGTCTGGAGTAGCTCTTCTACCTGTTACACTTCCTAGGTGCAGGCACTGGTTTTCTTCCTCTGTATCCTTAGTCTTAGATAGTGGTTGATACTTCAAGTAATAGGATTTCTTGGCTGTGCAGGCTTGCAGTTGGAGAGCTTAATGCAGGTAATATTTGAGCATGTATCTTCAGCCTGCCCCGATTTTACACAATGCAAAAGCGCACTGCTCTAAAAACTGAAGAAAGGGGCATTTCAAGGCCACCTGAGTCACTGTGTGGGAGCTTGCAGAGGCACTGTAGGAAGCCTGTATATTTTAGGGAAAGACGCCATTACCATGAATTAGCTGTTAACATCTGCAAACTCTCGGCATAATTTATGGTCGGAGAGGAACAAACAGGGTTTAATACCACCAGCAAGTAATGTCCTTGAGAGGTGTGGCTGTGATGTTTAGTGGGATGACTCAAGTAGATAAAGCTACCTGCACATCTGACTGCATGCATGATAAACACACCTGGAACAGTGTCTGAAGTAGCATTTGGGTCTGCTGTGTAACAGCGTCTCTGCAATGCGTCTCCCATTTTAGAGAGACCAGATTTTCTTACCTATGTGGGGACTGGAGTTTAGATACAGCTAACCATGATGGGAAGTCAGGGTTCCTGCAGAATGAGCGTAGCTCCTCCAGAGCTCTCATAGTTTCTGTTTCACCTTGTTCTTGATATTCCTCTTCAGTAAGGCATTTAAACACTAATTTTTTTGATTTAAAGTGGTTCTTCATTTTTCTACAATGAAATGAAAACAATTAGTACTTCTAAAGTCTCTGGCACATAATTATTGTCATCCTTTTTCTCTACTACCTGCTATTAACTTGCATTAATCACTTTTATCCTTTTAAGAGGACAAGCTACACTTGTGCATTAAAATTTTAGGGCAAGATGTCTAATGTTTGCTTGCCTGTTTACCCTAGGTCTTAACCAAAGTTGTAGAATTCCACTGAATGGTATCTAATGAGCTTCAAATGAGCTTTGGATCAGGTCCTTATTGCGTATGCATGGACTAAAATCTCATAGAATTAAATAGATGGCTGCTTGCTCAGCCATTTTTAGGTGCAGTATGCAAAATGTGTCTGTGCAGAGACATAGGCTGAATCAAAACCCAGTCTGCATATGTATCTCCGAAGATAAGCAATGCTCGAAGTCTGTTATGAGTTGTTCATGTTGTTTACTAGATCGCTTCTCTTAAATCTTGCTTTAAATTACAAAACTGAGTAGTCTGAGGCCAAAATGTTTACATTCTGCTGTTTTTTTAGCTGCTGCGTAGCAATGTATAATATAATTAGATATCAATTAGAAAGTGTGCCATGTTCTGTTCCCTTCTGTCGACTGCTTTCAATTTAAATGTTGTGATGAGTTAAGATAAGCAAGGGCTGGATGCCCATAAAACTTTCAGCTCTGTATAAAAACACCTGCTCCAACCAGCAGTATTCTCTTTCTTCCTTATTTCCCTGAAAAGCAAGAATGAACTGTAGCCCTTATTCAGGTCAAACAGTAAAGGTCTTGCTGGCTCAGTGGGATCAGTACTGATCTTAACAAATAATGCAAGATTCTTAGTTGTTTTGATATATCTGCTGCTCTGAACTGTGTATCTAACATCATGGCCTCACAGTTTGGTGCTACTGCTTAGTGTTCTGAAACAGAAAACAACCCCCTTATTCTCCTAAGAGAAATTGTAGAGCTATTATTTCAGTGCTTTTTGGCTTTATAGAAGCATCAGTTCATGAAAAACAAAAAGAGGTCCATATGGAGAATGAACTACAGTGTTTCAGGGCAAAACAGGTATGTTCTGACTTCTGTGAACTCGTAGCCAAATCTTACTGATTTCACAGTGAGCTGAACCTGCTTACATCAGGTAAGTATTGATCCTATGTGTTGCTTTTGAAACAGTTGGTGCTTCTCAACTGTAGGCAAAAATCAGTCTTCAACAAATGATAAATTCTACCTAAAATAAAACAGCTTCAACTCAGTCCACACTTCAACATCTAAAAAGAGCACAAGAGCAAAGCAGTATGTTCTTCAAAACTAAACAATGTGTAAAAGACTAAAAAAGGTATTATTTGGTTTTTATTCTTTTGGTTATGCCAGTTCAAGCCTTTGCCTCTTCCTGGTTCTCTGCAGTTCAGCAGAAGTCCACAGCTATGGAACAGCCTGCGCTAAAGTCTCTTAATCTGGATGCCATCACTGAAGGTAAAAAACAGATGTAAATTGGCAGGACTTCTTAGAATCTTCGAGTGTTGTATTTGTGATAAAACATGCTTCAAATTCAAGGTTGAGCAAACACGTTGTTCCCATATTGCTAATGAAAATACTTAGCAAACTAACATCTATATATTGCAAGCAGTTCTGATGCCAAATGCCACAATATATGTGGGGCTCTGTGAATATGGGGGAGCGTCTCCACAGTGGTAAAGATTGTTTCCAGGAATTAAAGGTAGACATGTACATCTAGGATAATAACCTTGGAAAACTAAAACGAGTGGAAACCACTATTTTTGTGGACACAGGTTTTTAGTCTCTGAACTCTACACTAACCTGCAAGGACTGTCACTTTTTAACATCTGTTCTTAGGTGATAGTACACTGTTTTATCCCATAAGATTCAGTACAAGTTACCTGCAGACTCTCTCACTACATGTGAAACCAAGGCAGTATTGCTGCAGTCTAATCAACCAAACAGAAATGTTGTGGTTACCATATGCTGCAGACTAGAAGGTGCTACATTTGTACTTAAGAGCACAGTCTCGCATTTCTCTGTTCTCCACAGAACAAAACTTGTGCTTAAAACTGCCAAATGGAAAATAATTAAATTCCTCTGTCTCAGGGATTTAAACCTTTTCTATCGTAGCTTTACATTTGGTACAGATATGAACTAATATTAGAAATTCATAAATCATTATTCAAGTGTAAGGGTTTTTTCATTATCAGCCTCCAGTATTTCCTGATGATACAGAGACTTGGACATTCACAAATACGTACAAACCTGCCTATGTGACAAGCAGCACCAAGGGGGTAACCCACGCCTTTTGAGCAGAGACTGACTGCTATTACTGCATACGCAACTTGAGGTACGGTGACACCACAGTAAATCAAGACAAAGGCTGTTAATTGTAGCGTCCACGTGAACAAGGTTATGCTCAGTTCAGTGGTAAGCGGTCCATGCTGATAGCAAGTGGCAAAGCTGGTAATTCCAACAGCCAGAAAATACCCTGTAGAAACAGAAAAGAAGGACATGGAGAAAAAGATGCAAACTACCCATATAAACTTCACTAGTTTGGTTCACAAAGCTCGCCATTGCTGTGAAGTATAGCCTCCTGTTTCTTCTGTTGTCTTATAGATACCTGCATTATGTTATACGTGCTTTATATTTCAAAAGGGTGCAAAGACTTCACAAGGTGATCTACGAACAGCCTTTAGCTAATGCTATGAGCTGCACATGAATTCCCTCCATGCCAGAATGCTGAAGCAGGTGCCAGATCAATAGATTTGTCAGCCCCTGCAGCCACATCCAGTTAGCAACTTAAGCATCCAGCTCCCAGATCAAGCAAAATACAAAACAGCGTAGCTGCCCTTACAGGGGAAGTATGTAGAGGCAAATCAGCGAACAAATAATAACAGGCAAAATCTGCTCCTCAAGCTGCTACTGGCCCACTATATCAAACTCCTTATTTAATGATACAACGTAAGTAAATGCTCATTTGAGTTGATTAGGAACCTTTGGAATATTCCAATGTCTGTGGCTTAGGAGAAAAAAGTACTCCATAGATGAATCACTTGATTTTGTTTTTTATGGGCAGCTATTCCTCTAACCACTAAATTAAACCAAAATCTGCAGCACATTTTTTGGTAATTTTCTTACCCAACAAGTAGTTTCTGTGTTCGGACCACAACCACTGCATATTCTCTTTGAAGCAGTAAATAAAATAGAGAGAGGACATCCAGCAGCCACTCATTAAGATCCAGAAGGTACTGTGCTGGATTTAAAAAAAAAAAAACAAAAAAACCCACACTTTAAAAAAGAATCAAGTCAGAATTAGGACCATTGTGTGCATGGCAACTCGCAGGCAAAACCAGATGTGATATTCGGCAGACCTACAGAATTTATGATCTGTGTTAAGACTTCCACTGTACAGTGCTCTGCATGCTACAACTAAACAATATCAATTCTAAGTGGAGCAACTGCATCTCTGTATTTGTGTATCTGTCCCAGTGTCATGGTATATGCCTATTGCAGTGTATTTCAGCAAGATTGTGGGAACGCACAGACTTTGTAAAAGTAAAGGAAAAATTCACATCTGCCTTGCAATGAATTGCCTGTGGTGAACGGAAGATGATCTGTCCCAGTTGCCACTAAAACTACATTTTGATTTAAATTGATTCATAGACTCAAAAGTAAGCTTAGCTCCAGTCCAATAAAAATAATTTGTTTCAGAATAAACTCTTCTTGTACACCAACAATCTCCTGTTTACTTTAAACTCAGGAGCAAGCTAACTAGAACTTGATTCTGACCTAATTACATTTACTTGACACAAGCAATCCTGCAGTCATTTCAGTGGAGTTACCTGGCCACAAAAACAGAGCAAGATCAGAATCTGGCTCTGTACTCCTCACTTCCTATATTATGATGTTGATGATTATTATTATTTTGTTTTATAAATGTAGATTTACCCTTGGAATAAACCTTTTAAGTGTCAACAGGACAAAGACTAGCAGAGCAAGAACACCCAGTATTATTCCAGAAAGGTAAAAGAACTTGGCACTCCTGTAAGAAAACAAGAGAGAATACGGTAAGAAGTATAATTTGTAACTGGTTAAAATGCTGACATTTGTAAAGACTGCAGTGATCTTCAGTAAGAACTTAACACAGCTGCAAGTTAGAGTTGTAGCTACATGGTTAACAGGCCCAGTTTAGATATTAAATCCATGTAAGGAAAAATTCCCAACAGGTATTTAAGGTCACTGGAGTTGTTACAGGCTAGGAGATTGTGTTGGGTTTTTTTAAAGCTCACACTGGTTCTGATTTCATTGACCTTCTAGTAATTTCATTTTCTTCTATATATGGTTCTGTACTGCAAGAAAAGTTGGGGTTTTTAAATTTAAAATGTAGAAAACCTTCACAAACCCACAAGGTTTCTTTCTAAGCTTATAGATTTATAAAGTCTGACTTTTTAATTCAGCATTAACTCTATAAAACCTATTGCTGCTCTGCTTGTTTTAGAGGTGCCTCCTGACAATTGATTTGTGACTCATTTTGCTTTGAAGTCATGGGACACATGTTTTGCTAAAGTATCCTCCCTTACATGCTATGCAAAACGTGCACCAAAAGAACAATGGGGAAAGGTTGGCACAAAGGTGGAGGTAGACAAGGCCCCAGATGACCTCATCCTAAGCATTTCTCGCTGCAGGAAGGCATAATTTATAACGCATGCAGCATTATTTAGCATTCAGCTAACCTCACTGGTCTACAAAAGGGAGACAGAATTTTTCTGAATCCGCACACTTCCTCGCGGAGGGTTGTCTTGGTGTCACCCAGTGCAGGAAGCTTGGATACAAGAACCCTACCACAGCTAAGTGATTAATAGAGTGCAGCACTCCAAGATATGCCACAATCTGTCCAAACACAAATGGTATGAAGACATTTTAAATATATGTTCAGTTTCCTTAGTTCACTTTCCCAAAGAACTGCCTCTTTAGCTTAGAAAACAGACCAAAGATGCACAGGCTTTGGAAAAGAAGATCAAAAACCAGCAGCTAGTACTCACCTGCTCAGGCTGTTTGCAAAATGGAACAGAAAAATTCCAGCTACAAACAAAAACAAGAGTTTTCCATCTAGCACTAAAAAAGGGGGAAAAAAATAGAAATGGACTTTAGACTAATTCAATCTGAAATGCTGATGATATAAAATATCAACAGAAAAGTCCCAAGCTTCTTACAGAAGAGATGGTACATTCAGTAACACTGGCAATACCAATCTATCTAGTCTAAACAGAAAGCTGTTTTACTTACTTTCTCGTTTCACACTCACAGTGTACGGTTCAGTTTTGAAGGGCTGTATTTTGAAACAAATATCCTCTCCATATTGTTTTATGCTTATGAAAGTTTCTGTAGATGTCTCTGGTTTCCAGAAGATTTGAACAACACATGCAGCAAACTCAAAAACAGTTTCTGAATTACGACAGTTGCTTTTTTCTAAAATAGGCTCAAACCTGAACATTTCTCTGCTGTTAACTTTTACCTAAAAACAAACAACAGAATACAGAGAGAAGTAGCTCAGAATCACTAGGGTTTTTTGTTTTTCTGAACTATATAGCATATAAGCCATACATGTGATAACGGAAGTCAGTATAGGGAGCTCAAGAATAAAACGCTAGTGCAATTCTTAGTTATTTAATATTCCTTATTAATATTATGCAAGTATTAAATTGTTTAGGCTTTACAAGGTGATTCAGAGAACTCAGCGTCAGTGAAGTTCTATGGCGGGGCCTCTGAATCCATCCAAAACATCAGTGGGTTTGGTTTTACCATGGCACTTGCCCCCACACAAATTTCTAACAAAATCCATAATATCTGACTGACCACGGTTTCTTTTGTGGATGTTCATATGCTTCCCCATTCCCCTCCTGAACCTTAAGAAATTGGACTTGCTTTTCTTGTAGTTGATAATGCAATTTCCATGGTAGGGACAGAAGGGGTATAAGGAAAATCAAAGACAACATAACCAGAAATTTAAATATAAGCACATTCCTGTTGGGTATTTGGGTATTTCTTGTTAGTTCTTAGCACCCTCCCCCACCAAACTGGTAAAAGATCTTGTTGATCTTCGGAGATGGGAAGATCTTCCTGAAGATTGTGATTGTGATCTCTTGATCAGGGCCTATTAGACAACAAAAACCCATCTACAAACAACTGATGCAACAGATAATAAACCAGGCTTCTGCTGGGAGAAGAGACAACGCATCAGCAAGCAATTTGTTGGGGGGGGGGTGGGGAGGACGACACGACGACGGGACACACGACCTGAACTTCATGCTTTTAAACATTTACTCCAGGAAAGCTTGTGTGACTGCTGGAGGGTTTCACCACCTGAAGTCTGCTACCATTCACAGAAACATCTGCAGCATGTTCCTGAGGAAAATAGTCCTGGGAACAGACAAAAAGATGTTCCACTTCCTTATACCCGAGAGCAAATTCCTCTCAACAGAGGTGAAGTGAAACTGTGTTCCTTCTCTTGTCCGGAGACATACTTTCCAGGGAAAAAAAGGAACCACACAGATAGTCAGCTTGTTCCTTTAGCTATTATTGCTTCTACTGTTAAGAGATTTTTATATTGTTTCGAGATAATCTCTAAACATGTTCCTTGTAAGATGACCCTCTGTTACGCAGAAAAACAGAAATGCGCTGCTACTGCTGGTTTTTCCATTAGTCACAATCTAACACACCTTTGGTTCCTATACTGTGGCCTGGTATGTCACAGCAAGTGAATCACAGAACAGCACTTTATCCTGAAATTTAGAAGTTTTATAAAGGCGTTTGGTGATAAGCAAAAACATTTGTGGCAGAGGTTAACAGCAGTCCATCAGTAAAAAAGGTGTGCAACAAAACAGTACGGACCACTAAGTTAATGTTTGTGTGGCACCATACTAGAAGCCTGGCTGACATCCTTCTAATAAAGAGAGACCAAACCTCACTGCATCCAAAGTGGAGGATCACAATGCTGCATTTTTATCATGGTCCCACCTATTCACTGTTCAAACTACTAATTACACAGAGATACTGCTTTGATCTTGCTAACTGATCGTACACTTTGCTGGCAAAGGTTCACGTGAAATGTGCTGCGTATCTGAATGATCCCTAAAACGGCCTCTTACCTGAAGAGTCGACCAAATGTACTGTAAGTGAATGGTTCTGTTTTGCACATAGCAGTAACAGTTTTCATTCTGTTTCTGGATGACATCCATTTCCTGCAAAAGGCTACAGTTTCTACCTGGGCAGGGGGCAGAAAAGTTCATTTTAAGCATGTAGCAAATACAAATGTATAATAGAGGAAACTCCATCTCATTGCTGTAAATGCTGAGGGAATCACAAGCAATTTGCAGATAATCAAAAACTATGCTGCAGGGTAGCATGCTCAATATGATTTAGATGAAAATTCCAATTAGACTTCTAATCAAGTCATTTAGGCTCCAGAGTGAACTGCAACACCTTTGGAAAAAAAAAAAAAATCTAGGGTGGTATTTTTTACAAATGTAATCCATAAAAGCTTGGCTTCATTATCAGTGTTTTGATGGCACTTATTGCCTCACAATTTGAGGGCCTCTGGGCCAAATTCACTGATGGCATGAGTGGGTGTAACTCCACCGGAGTCGATGCTTATACCGGTGGTGAATGCAACTGTGGGAGTCTGAGCAGGTAAACAGGCTTGCATATTAAAATAGTCATTTAGCACATGACATGGCTGTTGGTCGCAGAAATCTTACTCCTCTCCCTTGGAAATGTTTCTAATGTTAAATAACACAACTCTCTAAAACAAATTTTCCTGACATAGTCCAGCCATGACATGTAATAAGGCAACCGCACTGATAGCTTGCTGTAAGTCATTTAATTAGGGATGCTAATTAATCTAACTCTCCTGAAATGTTAGTGACCCGCTACGATCTTCAGAATTAAATTGCACTTTTGAGCAGAAATACACCTAAAAGATTAATGGAGCAAACTTTGAAGAATAACATACATTCTGATCTATATACATGTGTGAAATATACCCTACAGTGCATTACTGCAGTGTTCCAGGAACATAATTAAAGAGAAGAATAAAGGAAATAATTACAGATCTGAGCAGAGAGAATCATCTGGCTCACTGAATAGAAAATGTAGATCTAAGCCAAGCTCAGTAATAACTGCTAAAACACTGTCATATACTCAGAACAGCAAAATGAATATGTGTGAAACAGTCTCAATCTGGACAAGGAGATACTGTTTGCAGGTAAAAACCTGCCCTGTCTCTGTAAGGAAGCTGAACTTAGGCTAGATTATTTTTTAACCAATTTAATTAAGCCAATGAAGAATACCTATGTGGATGTTCTTACCTAAGTTTATTAAGTCATTCCAGAATTAAAAGTGTCCACAGATGATCCTGCTAAACTAAATTGGTTTAAACTTAAAATTTGGACATTTCTATTGTGAAAAATTAACCATCTGATTAATTTTCATCCACGGCAAATCCAGCGGGAGGGAGCACAACCCTTCAGACAAGGGGTGACTGTACCTCTTGACAGGCACTTCCATAAAGGTCATTAGAGGAAGCTGCAAAAGGATTCGTTTGTCCCTGAAAAGTGCTGCCAACCAATGCAGCAAGCAGGTGAGGCTGGGCACTACCCAGGGCTAAGACCGAGATAATGCAGCGATAGGAAGCATCAATACCCTAGCAGGACCAAAATGCAGCTGAGGGTGCCCACCCCTTCCCTGCAGGGTGTGTTAGGATTTTCTGCCACTACAGATAAACCATCCATCCACATTAGAAGTCATGTCCTCTGTATACAATGCTAGAAAGTTATTTTCTTACCCCCCCTTAATTTTAAGGCATTTTCTTGAGAAAAATAAGCTACATAGAGGGAAGCAATCATGTTCCAAAAGGAAGGATGCTCCTGAACAGGTAATTGTGAGATGGAGGAGGATTGTAGCTACGGTGAGGACACACAGAGAGGGCAACTCCCAAGCTGCGAGACTGCAAGCAGTGGGGAGAACCGGCATCTGCTGCAGAATCTGGATGATGCTCAAGACGTGGGAACAGCCAGGCAAGGGGGAAAGCAGTTTCTTGAGCTACGTATCGCTACTACAACTGAGAATAACCTTTAGGGTTTTCACCGCCCTCGTTAATAAAGGATCTGTTCTGCACCCAGTTCTCCTGAACCAAGCTAATGAGAAAGCCGGAGGGAATAAGATAGGCTCAGGTCAGCTTCCCGTGCCAGCGGTACCCGGCCTTCCAAGCTCGGCCACTGAACCGGGAGAGAGGCACCGGCTCCCTGCGCGCTTGCTGCCGCTTCGTCCGTGGGCGCTCTCCCAGGCCAGCCCCCAGCGCCTGTGCCTGCCTGCCCCACAAGCGAATATTCTTGTGCAAACTGAACTGCGAGGGGACAAGCAGGACAAACCAGCAAAGCGCCTCGGGGACACGGCTG